AACGTTAGTTTTGCATTGGAAAAAAGAGCCGACGTTTGCGATGGTTTTACATAACTTGGCCCAATGTAAGTGTGCTAGCTGGGTAGTGAGATCTTTAAGTTTTCCCCAAGTAATCCAGGAAAGTCTTTTCCTTTTTCCAGCAAAAAATGAATCATGATTGCAACCTGTTATGGCATGAAATAGAGGTAAACATATCTGTGTTAGAACAAGACATAACAAGAACGTGCTGTGTAGTTAAGGGTTGGTTTTCGCCCGTACCATATCCATAATTCTTCTAAATGTAGCTTATAAAAAAAAAACTAAACATAAAAATATAATAATTCGATAAGTTTAATAAAAATTATTTTTATGACTTAATTTATTTTCTGACTTAATCTAAAAAATAAATAATAAGTTTTACCAAAGACAACAACATCAGTATCTACAGTTCTGATCATGGCTTTTTTGAGTCCACTATTTATAGCAGCATCATATATGTGAAGAAATATAAGAGTGTCTGCTTCTTCATGTTTGCAAGGCTTTAGTTTTGATTCGTTGATATTTTGGCTTGATATTACTAAGTTCTCATAGGTCACAACAACCAATGTATCTGTTTGAAGACAAGATACTTGGGCTGAATGGAAGTTAAATAATTTGTTTTTGTTCTGATCAACGCAAAGAAATGAATGACAATCACTTGGAATCTTTGATTTGTGCAACACGTAGTGTTGTTGTACCTTGTCCTCTTTTGACTCTTGCTGATTTTTTGTGTGTACCTTGTCCTCTTTTGACTCTTGCTAATTTTTTGAGGCTGTTCTCTGTGTACATCCCAAATATTATCAACTCTTGCACACGATTGTAACTATTCTAAAATGAATTTCTGGAATACCTTGAATAATATTTGAAAGTTTAACAATTCTTGGATGACAAAGTATTTACAACTACAGCTTCATAAATAATCAAACATTCAACTATGGGTTTATCTTTAATTGCGATGTGCAAATCATTGAAACAAGTTAGAAGATCTGGTTTATTTCCACTGCGTAACTGTCCATCTTTTGATAGAGACGGTGGGAAAGTGTTTTTTTCATGAGCGAAAAACTGGTAGAAAATGTAAAATTGCGAAAACAACTGGCAGTTCTTTTTGAGCACAGGTATTAACAATTGATCTTTTAACTTACTTTTTGTATTGACGTAACTAAAAAGTGATTTTATTCCGTTTTATTGGATTAAAGACTCCTTTATTCTGGTTTGAAAAAATGGTTGAATAGTTTTTCTCCGGAATTCTCAATTGAATTAACAGTGTTTACCATTTCTTTGTCTTTGATATCATGGGTATTAAGCACCAGAAAATCTAGACTTTCTTTTTTAAATGGATTACCCATGTTTGAAATTATATCAACTAAATTTGTAACTAGAGACGCAAACCAATTATGATGAATTTTATTTTGCTCATTATGTTTGAAATATATTTTCAAGAAATCATCTCTATCATTTTTTGCGTATAGTAAATTTGATTCAAATTCATCGAGCTAATTCAGATTCACAAATCAAAATTGAACAAAAGTTGTATGAAAGTTATTGAAAACATAAAACTTATAAAAATGAAATTAATTACAAAAACTATAAAAATTTATTTAAAAAAATTAAAAAACGAGCAAAAGTTAATTATCATGCTAAATTGCTTGAAATTAACAAAGGAAACAAAAAACGTGAGATGTTGTTAGAGGTTTAATTGGGGAAAAAAAATTGCAAAAAATAACTTACCTCAAAATCCTTTTATTGATGGGTTTGAATCATATTTAATAACAGAAAACAATTTATAATTAAAGAATCGAAAAATTCAAAAAACAACCAAATAACTTATGGGGTACCCCAGCGTTCTATTTTACCATTATTATTTTTACTTTATATAAATTATATTTAGCATCAAAAATGTTAAACACTATTTTATTTGCAGATGACACTAATTTATTTTATTGTCAAAAAGATACAATTGTTTTTTTTTTTAACTTTTTACGAAGAGTTAAACAAGATAAACGAAAGTAACCAACTTTCACTAAACGTTGATAAAACAAAGTTTATCCTATTTCATAAACCTAGTAAAGCCGATAATATTTCTTTTAAATTGACTAATCTTTTAATCATTAATTAAAATTTTGAACTTTAATATAAAAATTGTCATGAAAATACCTTATTAAATATATAGAAAGTAAGATCTCAAAAAGTATTTCCATTTTATATCGAACAAATCCGTTTCTTAATAATCAATCATAATAACAAAATAACAATAAACAATTAAAAAGTATATTGTTTTCTTTCATACGCAACTATCTTTCTTACTAAAACATTGCTTGGGGTAGCACTAATCACACTCACAAACTCAAAAAAATTTATAGCAGATAAAACATACTTGCAGGATAATATTTTGGGCAAACAGGAATGCACATTGCAAATCTCTCTTACGTCAGCTTGGAGCTTTAAATATTTATAAGAATAAAATTCATCAAGTAATGTTATTTATGTTTAAAGCAAAACGTGGTTTATCTCCAGTATCATTTTAACCTTTAATGAAATCTCTCATAAATATAAACCAAATTTTTAGTGAACAACTTTGTCATTCCCATCTTAAATTAGGCTCGTACCAAGTTCAATATCGGGCACCTTTTGTTTGGAAAAATTTTCTTCGTATTTTTAATTAAAAACAAGACTTTGTTTTAAGCTGCACTTTGGAAAGTTTTAAAGGTGATTCAAAACGCATTTACTAAACATGGATTTCGATATACTAGATTTCAAGTATCTTTTTTAAAAAAATTTAAAATTTTTGAAATAAAAAACCGTCTATCTTAGGTTTATTTTACATCTATTTTAGGTTTATTTTTACCTTTTTGGTTTAAAGTTTTTGTTGATATTGATAAATCAGCCCTAATTACTTATTTATATTGCACTATTTTTAATAAAACTTAACGCAATTTTTTGTGATTAATAACCTTCACAACTATCTCACTTTTGTATCATTTTATTTTTAATTTTTAAATTATTCCGGCGGAAGATTGTTACCAAAAATTTATTGCCGAAGTTTTGTAGGTACTTAAACTGTTTTATTTTATCACTTATTAGTTATATAAATAGGTTTGAAAACAACATTCGGCTCGAGGGGCTCGGAGTAATAAGAAGACTTTCTATAATTGTAATTTCTTTTTTTTAATTTTTAACAAACGGCAAAATGAAAGAAAAAAAAAACATAATTAGCATCTTACCTTTGGCCCTCATATAGATAATGTTAAATAAATTGTCTAGGTATTAGATATTGAATAATAGTTGACCAAACTGAGAGAAAAATACAAAATAAAAAAATCAGACAAAAAAAAAACCAAAACAATAACTCGAGGAGTGGAAGTAGGATCGGTTATTTAAATTATTGTGAAAACTCTTAACTTAACGGCACTGTATCCAGCTCTTAAAGAAAATATAGGATAGATATAGGCTATATGAGCATCTTGGTAATCTGAGTATACTTAGAGATTTCTTAAAAGTAAGAAGTGAACTTAAAGTTGTTTTGTAATTTTCAAATTGACTTTATGTGGTGATAACAGGAATCAATACAATTAGCCTAAATTTATATGCAATAATTGGCAGGTTATCATCTAATTAAAACACTGTTAAATTTTTTGCTTTGTTAAAATAATATCATCACGCAACAATAAATCTGTGGCGCGAAATTTTGGTGCTAAATTAATGAAATTAATTTTTTCATAAGGAAAAATATGTTAGCTAAAAATCGAATTTATTTTTGTTTGAAAAATAATACAAAGAAACATTTTGCTTTGACTTTATTTAAAGATGCAATTTTTGTGTTTTTTGTTGAAAATATTTTGTTCAAAGTCCTAAAATAGCTAATTTAAAGTGCAATTATTACCAAGTGGGCTGGGTAATATGAGCACTTTTGCTACTTTTTCAAAACCTCTGCGTTTTTTAAAAAAAAATTTTGAGTGCCTAAATATCTAAGTGGATCCTAAGTAGGGATCCCTAAAAGTTGTTTATTCGCAAGAATTTTGGATCCAGCTTAATTATTTTTAAAATATTCTAATTTTCGCTTAAGGTGCATATATTACCCTAATAATAGTAATAATAATAATAATAATAATAATAATAATAATAATAATAATAATAATAATAATAATAATAATAATAATAATAACAATAATAATAATAATATTTAATATTCAATAATAGGGTAGATTGAGTACTTTAAGCGAAATATAGCACCTTAACCAAAAATTAGAATATTTTAAAAAATAATTATGCTGGATCCAAAATTTTTGCGAACAAACAACTTTTAGGGATTTTTACTCATACAAATTTACGCTAATTGTGCTGATTCCTGTTATCACCACATAAAGTCGATTTCGAAAAATACAGAGCAACTTGAACTTCACTGCTTACATATAAGAAATCTTTAAGCATGCTCATATTACCAAGGAGCTCATATTACCCTATTTTCTACGCTATATAGTATAAAAATAATAGTAATATTTAAAAATATGTTGTTTTTTTTAATCAATAAAGTGATTGAAAAACAAAATGTTTATTAAAAAAATTTTAATGATCTATAATAAGAAAAAAATATTAAATTAAGTTATTAAATCAGGGCTGTGTATAGTTTTTCTGCGTTTTTGTTAAAATTTACAACCGAAACCGAAACAATGCGCATGCCAACATTCCACAAACAGGTTCTATTACTAAACTGCCGTGTAATCAATTATCTACTTTATTAATAAGTTGATAATTATAAACTTAAATTAATTGTTATTAACTATTGTTGAAAAGAAGTTAAAATGTATTTGCAGTATTTTTCTCACAACCCTTAAAAATGTGTCGGTTCACTTAACACTTTATTACAAAACATTAATTATGTTGTTAACAAACATAACCTATCAAAACTTTAATTGTTTAAGATTTTTTTTTGGCATAGTTAAGTAACGGTCCACCGTTTTATGGAACTTATTATATCTTCGGCATTTTTGTTCACAGCCTACATCAAATAGAATTTTTTAAGTTATTAATGATTAGCTAGTAAAATAAAAAAAACTAGTTATAAACTGTAAATAGAGAGTAACACATGGATTAAATTATCGCAATGAATTATCTTTATAGAGTGCTATACAAAATCTGTTATTTTCTAGTAATAGTGTTTCCGTATACTAAATGCACTACAGAGGAAACTTTGCAAAAACTAAAAGATAACTTTTTGAATAACCCTATGGAAGACTGGATTTACAAAGACCGCTATTTGACGTTAAAGCAACTAGGGCTTCACTATTTAGATGTTAATCGATCAATTCGTTACCCGCGTCAGCCATCAAACCGAATGAAAAATGCTTTTTATAGAGCTATAAACGGCGAAAATATGAATGTAGCATTGCTGGGTGGTTCCATATCAGCCGGAGCAACACTTTTTAAAGATAACAATCAGCACAAAATATTTTTTTATGCTTTACAAGATTATTGGAATAAAACAGTAACACCTATAACTGGTTCAAAAATGATGATTCATAATTATGCAATCGGCGCTACAGGTAGCGATTTTTATTCTTATTGCATTGATAACTATGTGCAAGGTAATGCAACAGATTTAGTTATATGGGAGTTATCTGCTAATGATTACCATAGATTTGATAATCGAGACGTTCCTCCTACTTTGCCTCTTGAAATACTAACAAGAAGTGTTATGCGCTTAAAGCGAAAACCAGGGTTACTTTACGCACATTTTTTTCGTGGAAAAGATTATCGAAAAGAATTAGAGTGCAATAACTTAGAATCGGACGGAGCAAACTATTTATCTAGGTATTATCGTGTTCCGTCAATTAGTTGGAAAAAACTAGTTTGTCGTAAGCTTATTTTAAATGAACAAAAAATGTTTACTAAATTGTTTGCCCAGGATTCGTCACACCCAAGTTTGCTAGGACACGCTCAAATGGGATTTCTTCTGATTCATTTGATACGCAAGTTATTCATTCAAGTTATAGATGACGTTCTTACCAACTTATCGCAAGACTATTTGTCATTACCTGGGACGATAAGTCTAGAACCGGTTGTAATAGAACCTATGCTCAAGCCCGTTTTTACAAAAACAGACCTTGTTGCTAGTGATCCACTTTGCTTTACATTTAATATTCCAAGCAATGGTCAAACTCCTTTCAATTTAAAGAAAATTCTAAAAGTAGTTCGAAACGATGGTTACGTTATTTCAACAGCGCACGGTTTTATAGTAAGAAAGGATAAAACAGAAGGTCTGCGTACAAAGTTACCTAATAAAGAGCTACATATACAAATCAATGTTCCGACACATCAACAAACACCATCGAAAGAGTGGATGATTTTGATAGGTTCATATTCTAATTTTGGAGGAGCTATGTTTTTCATAGACAATAAATTAAGTCGCGTTATAGAAACAGAAAAATATGCATACGGAAGTATTGTAGCAGCGGTAGCAACTAAAGTAAAACCAGGTAGACATGATCTAGTAATCAAATCGCTAAAATCTGGATTTTTTATATCATCTGTGATGTTAGGCTAAAATTCTTTATTAGTCTTGTATATTGTTAATTAGAATTTATTGTATAGACGTTTGAGTAAAATACTAGTGTCGTGCAGAAAATACGAGTTTTGCTATTTATTTGTATATATTTATCAAACTTTTGTAATTTTATTATAATAAAATATTTTTACTTAAACTTGTTTAATATTGTGAGGAAATGGAATTTCGTCAGGAATATCGACGATATGTTGTTAGCGTCGTTAATCTCGATTAACTATACGAAATTATTTGCATCGAACCTACATAAAATTAAGTCAGATTTTTTACATGTCATTTAAGAGTTTTGATTAAAAAACATTTTAGATAAAGAAAACCTCAAATCATGTTTTATAAAAAACTAATAAAAAATAATAAAAAGGTATTACAATATTAATAAGTTTGTTTGTCACAACTCTAATGTGTTTATTAGTTATAATACTAATATGTTTATTTGTTATAATACAAATATATAAAGGCGTTACGCTAGTAAGATGGGCGGCAGCGCAGTATTATGATGTTGATAGGTAAAAATTATTTTTTTAATGCCTTCAAGAATTTAATATAAATTACTTTTTTTCAATATTTTTAACTAGTTTTTTACTCATTGATACGTCAGCAATTTTCTAGCGGTCAAAAAGTATGCGTGGCATAAATTTTGAGCCCCATCAATTTGAATGGGTTACAAATTTTATATGGTCATCATTTTCAAACACTATAAGATTAAATTTCAAACCTGTTAATAAATACAGGCATATTAGAAGTTAGTAATAATAATATTTTTGCAATCGTTTGCAAAGCATCCATTTGTTAAAGGTATAAACGTATAAATGTTTAGATTTTGTTAAGTGAGTGAAGGTTAGCTCATACATCAAATAACGGTGTCACCGTGCTTGAATAGGAACCACTGCGCCACAGCCGCTCTCAGTTAATTGCTCTGTGATAATAAAGTCCTTTTGGAGCGCCTTAATAACCAGATTTAAAAAAATATATATTGAATATATAAAAATGTATTTATATATTAAAATATTTTTGAATAAACATTTTGCAATTATGCAACAATGTTTTACAAATCATATATTAACTTAATTTGTAAAAAACGCTGAGAAGGAAACGGTGATGGCACGTTGAGAAGGAAACGGTGATGGGACGCTGAGAAGGAAACGCTGATGGCACGCTGAGAAGGAAACGATGATAGCACGCTGTGAAGGAAACGGTGATGGCAAACTTGTTTTAAAAAGTTCAAAAAAGTTTAAGACTTAGATCAAATCAAAAAATTGAAAGAAAAAAAGAGAAATAATTTTAACTTGTTATTGCTTTTTAACACTAATTACTATTTTGTTATTTTACTTATTTACCAAAGTAATAATGTTTATTACTGCATGAAATAATTTATAATTTTATAACACGAAATTTAACTCAATTTTTGTAATTATAATTATTTACTTATTAACTACAGATGTAGTTAATTACCCCATAACTCTTGCTCAATTTGTGGTTCTAAGGGGTAATGTGGGTCTAATCAGCATTTATCAGTTTTTCTGATTTCTTTGATTGTCAGAAATGTCTTCTTTTGTGTAGATGCCATATTGAAATTTCTACCGGACTCAACTCAATCCGTTTGTTGTGTTCACTATTTTAAATATATAACTACTAACTCTTATTTTATATTTATGTATTAAAGATTTATTATAATAATATACATATTTACAACTAGTATTATATGAACAACAATAACTCACTATAATATCTTTCTAACTAACCCACGAGTTCTAATGCGTTCCACATGAACGCACTCTTACCATTCATAATGTTATGCATTTTGTTACCAACTCTCAACAGTTCCCCCTGTTTGGGAAAGTTTCTATTATTACTCAAATAAATAAATCATGTTTAAAAATGTTTAATTGTAAAACCTTATAGGTCTATTTATTCGCTTTGGGTATGATTTTCTTTTAACTATTTTTTTTTCGTTATTATTTACTGGTGTTTTCACTTTCAGCTTCAGGTTTTAGGAGTTTTTTTATGAATTGTATATTACGCGCCAACTCGTTTCCTTTTTGATCGACTACAATGACTAAATTTTGCTTACTTTCTATATATATATTTCTATATATTGCTTATTTTCTATTTATATATAACTATATATTTCTTGTTAAAATATTTTGAGTCTAATTTTCCTCCCGGTTTATTGCGTTTAACAAGAACCTGATCTCCTACTTTAATATCATATCTCTTCTTTGAATAATATTTCATATGAAAATATTCTTGTACTTTCTTATACTTTTTATCTTTACGTTATCTCACTTCTTTGTCATAGGGTGATTTTTCAATTATTGTTGAAGGAAACTTGTTATATCTTTTCTTTCACATAAGGTTTTACCGCCAGCTAATTGCCTTGTGGAGGCCATATTACCAACGTCCGCAGAGACTTGTTTCGGCTCCCAAGGGAGCGTCATAACCCGCTCTACCGACCGAGAGTAAGGTGAGTTTGGAAAGAACGAAGATATGTTAGAGTGAAAGACAGAAGTAGTTGGGTTAGAAAGATAACATAGAGATAGCGGACAAAATTTCACACGATGTTAGAAGGTACAATAGTGCTGTTAGTCAATCCGACAAAGTGGCATAAGTATGAAATGCGAATGAAAACGCAACTTCGCACTTGTGCCAGTTTTTGCAACGCCTCGCACTTATGCTAGTTTGCACTTATGCCAGTTCGCGCTTATTAAGCCTCCTGGATTAAAAAAGCGGAACATATTTTTTTAAAGGGAAAAATTTTTTTATATAAAAGTAAAATGTCAATGATATTTTACTTTTACATATAAAATTTTACCTTTATTCTGGTGGATTTTTGCACGAATCTGGTGGTTTTTTTGGCGGTTTTTTGCATTTAATCTGGTGGTTTTTTGCATTTAATCCGGCGGTTTTTTGCATTTAATCTGGTAGTTTTTCTTTATTATGATAAACAGTTTTGTTTTTATTGCTTCATTTAATTTAATTTCCTTATATACAATTTCAGCCCGTTTTCTCTTCAATTTTTTAAAACTCTAAAATGAATAACGCACGAAGACAATGTTCAGAAATTAATGTTGAAGTAAGAAATTTGATCATTAATCTTTTAATTAACGAAGAGAAAAGAAGAAGTATCGTATCTTGTGCATAGAAGTGAGGCTTCAATACGACATCTGATCCATCGATATATATCAACAGGTAATATCATTCCTGGTATTAGAGGTAGTTTTTGACAGTCAGGTTGTACTAAAGAAATAAGAAATAGGCTACATGAGTTAATTGGAGATAACAAAAACTATAACTTACTGGAGATAAAGGTAGAATTTGGAATTGATGTTAAAATCTCTACATTATGGCGATGGTTAAAAAAATTGAATTATACATACAAAATTTTAAGACCCATTAGTGAAAGACGCAATACTGCAGAGGTAAAAGAAAAAAGAAAAGCATATGTTTCATTGTATTTAAACTTGACATTGCAACAACGTTACAGAAATATCATTTATATCGATGAAAGTCCGTTCAATCTTCATATGATAAGAAACCACGGATACAGTCTCCGAGGAACGACCCCAAATCAACGTGTATTGTCATCAAAAGGCCGTAACATAACTATGATATGAGCATTAAATTGTTTAAGCATAGTACACAGTGAAGCGATAATTGGCGTAGGGGTGCAAATATTAGATATTTACAGCAAATATCTTTAAAGGATTCTTAAATACACTTAAAAGTATTTTAAGGGAAGAAGAAGAGTTTACCTTGTGATGGACAACGTTTCATCATTCTTTATCAGATTTTTATGATAGTTATCCCAAAGAAATTCATTTTTTACCTCAATACTCACCTTTTTGAAACCCTTGTGAAAAAACATTCTTGAAAATTAAAAATACTACAAGAGGACAAATAGCCCCAATTGAAAATAACGATTTGTTAGAGCGAATGAGGAACGGTTGTGAGGACGTTACTGAACATGATCTTTCAAACTTCGTGAGACATTATTATTGTTGTTATTATTGTAATTATTGTTCTTATTATTATTGCTATTATTGTTATTATAATTATTATTATTACTCAATGCTATTGGATTATACTATTTGTTACACATCTAAATCTATTTTTAACTGGAATATATATAAATATTTTTTTATTACTAGTCATTTAAGCAATTCTTAACATGCATTATAAAATTGTTATACATTTTAAAACCGCCAGATTGAATGCAAAAAACCGCCAGATAGAATGCAAAAAACCGTCAGATTAATTGAAAAAAAAATCAGATGTAGTTACACATCTGATTTTTTTCGGATGTAACTAAATCCGGAAAAAAAAATCTATAATAATACATTATATAACCAGATGTAGTTAGAAGTTTAATTTTTTTCGGATGTAGCTACATCCAAAATGTTGTTTCGGATGTAACTACATCCGAAAAATAATTTATTTATAAAAATTATCTGAATTGTGATTTTAAAACTGATTGCTTTAAAAATCGTAAAAATAGACTCTGTTTGTTTGCATAAAACATAATATTTAAAATACGATCAATATTGATACTTTTCATTGCCAAAAATTTAGATATTTTTTTATGGAACGGTTTAGACTGCTTAGAACACTTAACTTGGACATTAAAGCTGGACATCTTTGGCACTCAACGGCATCTAAAAATTCACTGCGTGCCCAGGGCGTTTAGAGAGGCCAGCTTGTAAGGAACAAATTCCTTTTTCTTTGTTAATAATAATTTTTTATTGAATTATAAAAAATTGAAAATTTCGCAATATAGACGACTGTTTTTATTTTCTTTTTGCGTCCATACCTAAATTGACAAAACTTTTTGAAAAAAACAAAACCTGATGCGGTATCACAAAATGAATTGGACTGCCAACCATGTGAAAGCAATGAAGATGTTAACGATGAAAGAATGAATGTTGAATGAAGATCTTAATAAAGATGCAGCAACTTTTTTTAAAATATTATTATGCTTTGTAAATAGCATCAGTGATTGGAGCCTGGGAACAAAAATATTCCTAAAAGTGTTTACCCCGAGCGCGAGGGCAATAAGATATACTATATTGTACAAAATATAATTTCATCAACAGGTTTTACATTTCATCTAAAAATCGTTTTGCGTTCGAATGTTTTGACCAT